GATTTTGTTTCATGTAGAATTCAATGTTTATGAAGGGATAGGAGCTGCAATTTTAGATCTTCAATTTCCCCCAAAGACACATGTGTTAAATGCTTGGTCCCCAGAGTGTCCCTAAGTGGGAAGTGGCCAATCCTTTAAGAAGCGGGGCCTATTGGGAAGTCTTTAAAAAGTCACTGGGGACATGCCCATGAAGAAATAATGCCTTTTTGAGTCTTCATCATAAGGTGAGCAGTTTTGCCCTACCACATGCTTCTGTCATGTGTGCTATTTTGTCAAGGGCCCAAAGCAAACTGGCCAGCTAATAATAGAAGGGAACCTCCAAAACTGTGAGACAAAATAAACATTTGCTTCTTATGTATAAACAGATTGCAACTGGAAAGGGAATAACAGAAGGTTTCATGCCAACAAAGTGTGTCGTCCATTAGCATCATGTGTAAATGCTTGGCGATGATCTCAGTAAGCCAGTTCTGAAAAATTTTTTAAAAAGGATTTCCACGTTTCAGACCCCATTCAGGAAACCACATTCATGCCCCCCCCAAGTCTTACATTCCTGCAGTTCATCTGGAAGGATTTGACCAATTCAGCAAACAAGAAATATAATTTAGAAAGTGAGTCTAGAAGGTTGCTTTGTTACATGAGGAGAGCCCCCAAACCTCACTCCTAATCCCCACTCACCATATGCAGGGAATTGATTTCCTTTATTCCTCTGGAGGATGCTTGTTGTTTTTCCTAAATGTGAAAAGCAGCTCCCCCATGTTTGGGAACTTGACCCTCATGAGTAAATTGATTCCTTTAACTAGAGTCACTTAAATGTTTTAATCCTCTGAAATAAATTGTGGTATATTTTTCATTGTTAAAAAAAAAAAGAACAACATGTAGAAATAACATTTGCACAGCAGCCATTCTGGGAGTATCATGTAACACGCTTAGGTTTTCCCATCAGCCCGTTCATAACCCCACATCTCCGATTTTCTAGCCTTCTTGGTGAAATGCATTCAGATGGAATAGTGGTGAGTTTCTGTTTTCAACTGTTCCACAATGCATTTGTGAAAAGACTGGACAGATAGATTCCAGATGGGTAGTGTGTGATGGAGTGGCACATGTGAACAGCGTGTGCCCAGAAGTGAGCATCCCACACTGGTTGGTGCTTTCCGCTGAATTCTCTCTTCAAAACGCCTTCTTATAATCACCCTGGTGTCTAACATGTTTCTTTGTTGGACTGGTTTTAGTTTAGCATCTTTGAACCCCAAAGAACAGAAAGTTACCCTGAGAAACACATTCAGGCTTCATTTTTTGATATTATTATGGCTTCAGGTCTTCAGGATGAAAATATCGCTCACATTTTTTGATGTTACCATCCCAGACTCAGTACCAGTCTAAATGCTGATGTAGTAGAGATCGATTTTCCTTTTTTTTATAATGATCTTGGTATAATTAAGTCCCTCCTCTAATGCCTCTCAGAAAAGTTGCTAAACCATTATAATAACTGTTTTAGGCACACAAGTATACATGGGTGGCTTTTTAAGGTATTTGGTATTTTAAATCCCAGAAATAAATCCAGGAAATGTTTTCATTAAGTCTGGGTAAGAATGTTGTAGAATTTGTACCCTTGCAAAGGTACCTGGTCAGAAATGTTTAGACATTCTCTCTTCCATTTTGTTTTTTAATTGCAAAATGTTTAAAGTTCCTTTGAAAAGTGCAAAAACATTACCTCACCAGTGTTAAGAAGTATGTGGATGTATTTCTTACGGAAGCAGGCATTTTTGTCTTGGTCTCCACCATTTCCAAACAGGAGTTAATTGGCAAATTTATTTTCTTACCCCTTAGGCACCACCAAGTCTGAAGATCGTGCGGCTCTGCTGAAGAAATTCAATGAACCTGGGTCCCAGTATTTCATTTTCTTGCTGAGCACACGAGCTGGGGGCCTGGGCTTAAATCTTCAGGCTGCTGACACGGTGGTCATCTTTGACAGTGACTGGAATCCTCATCAGGTGCGTGTGCATATCTGCTTGGGCTCCCAGGCCTTCCTCTGGAGAAGAAGGAAAAGATTATCAGTTTCATCACTCACATTTATGGGACAGAGCAAATTTCTAAACGACTCAGCCATTTCTCCAAAAGAGAAATAGCCCAGCCAATTATTATGGCTGCTTCCTATCTCCCTTGGAGCATAGATATTTCGGTGTCAAACACATGCCTGTGAAGAGCTCGAGATTGAGGTGGAAAACTCACTTTCTGCTGTCTTAATCCTATCTCCCAGGATTGCCATTGAACAAATTACATCTGGTAAAGGATAAATAAAAAAATGTTGCAGGGACCTGGGGGTGCAGCTCAGTGGGGGTACATGAGCTTAGTTTGTATGAGGCCCTGGGTTCCATCTCCAACACCAATAATAACAAGTTAAAGAACAACAAACAGCACTTTCTGAGTGTTTTCTCTGTGCGAGCCTCTTTTTATGCCTTGTTTCTTTCTGTTTACAACTACCCTGCAAGGTAGTAAATGGTACTGATTACATTTTTGTAGTCAAGGACACTGAGTCCCAGGCAGGCTAAATAACATCTTCAAGGACAGTTAATATATAATAATTAACCTTCTATTTATCATTTAAATTCTATTTATCACTTTAAATGTATCATTTAAAATCATGAAAAAATATCCTGTTGAGTATCTATTGTTTTAACTAGGTAAACTTTTTTTAACTAGGTAACTTTAGAGTTATTCTCTTAAAGGTGGTAGTTCTCTGGTATTCTCTTAAAGCTGGTGGTTCCACAGTAAATGTTGAATGGATCCTTTATGACACGCGCTTCCTGACTGAGCCTAGGACATGAGGCATCTGCCTGAAAGATACTGGGTAGAATGCTATCATCAGGATTTGATTCATATTAAAACCAACCCTGAATATCAACTGGTAAAAAGGGAATGCACCTCCTACATGTGAACATGGACTCTGTTTCCATGTCACCCGTGCTTCTCAGCAGCTGTTGTGGTCACAGCAGCAACACCATCGTCTCAGAGCCATTGGGAAGAGTGGTTGGGAAGGACTTCCAGAAGGTGCATTTGGCAGGAAGTAGAGTGCAGTGGTGCATTAGAATTAAAAGACAGCTTTTAAATATACTCATCCCTGTTTCCTGTTCCCTACAGCCCCACCCCCGGTCTCTTATTCATCAGGTGTGGGTGCTTCTTCCTGAGCACCTAGGGGTTCTCTCACAGCTCTGTGTTGATCACTGCTGGTGTTCCCAGTCATTCTCCATAGGTGAGAAAGTTAAAGTACAACTAAGAATGGGAGCCACCAACACTGAGCCTGTTCCAAGTTCAGGAAACTATTTTATATATAGATATAGATTTTTTTCAATATCCCTTATTGCATTCTGCAACTCGATCAGGATTCATATTCATGTGACAGAGCTGTAGTTTTCCTTCCTGCATTTTTGTACTCGGTAGTCTACAGGCATGCTCCTGTAGCGTGTCTGTGCTGTGGTGTCCACTGAGCTGGGCTGGGCATCCAGGGAGAAGGAATGTGTGATTGTTCTGCCCGGAGGCTCAGTGTGGTTGGATATTTAGACTACTTGATTAGTGCTGGCGCTTTTATTGATGACCATCTGTAGGTGAATGGAGAGTTTACTATATTTTATATTCTGAGCTAAATATTTCTACCAAGTATCGGATGTTCATTTTCACTGGCAGTGTGAATTCTAAGAGCGAAAGGAAAGCCACTGTTTCTGAAAATGTTCATTTGTCCCACAGAAGGAGGTAGGATCCTTTAGGGATCTGTCTTCCCCCACAGACTTTGGAATATAACTTTCATCAACAGTAAAGTCAAATTTAGTGGGGATCTGAGCAGTGCCCTCCCAACTACGTATGAGCCAGAATTTCAACAATCAAATAGATGACCCCAAATTTCCTCTATCCTAATTCACAATGAATTCACACTAGGCCATGTATCTATAGGTATTGACATCTGCCCTAGGCGAATTCATTCAAAACTGATCTTGTAAACTGCTGGCCCGATGTTTTCTCTCTGTCACTCACACGTGACCATTAGATTGGACAAACTTTTTGTTTTCAGAAATCAGCTATCTTAGAATGATTTGAATGAGCACTCGGTTTTCATTAAAAATATAAGGTAACTTTTATTAAGTAACATGTCAGAAACTACTAATGTTTACATTATTTTCCTTCAGGTAATAAACTGTTTTGGACTTATGGTACCAGCCAAGTGTTAGATTACTTAGGTGCACACAGCCAGGATTCAAGCCCATGTCTGTCTGGGTCTGGCTTGAATTCCAGGATCGATGAGGCTCTTGTTACCACATTAGCTTCAGCTTGTACGAAGAAAAACTTCTACAAACATTCTCTTTTGTGTTGAACCACAAGTAAGGTAGATGAGGAACTAAGGGGGTTGACTGATCTTAAGTTAGAGGCCTTAAAGTTGTGTATTGGATACTTACCTAGAAGCAAAGAGACTGCATGGTTGTAGAAGCACCAGCAAAACCCTTGATTTATCAGGGTGCTCCTCCACACTGCTGAGGAAAACCACAGGTGGATATTTGTATTTTTAACACAAAGCTCCGTGGCTGTCACAGAACAGTCAACCTCAGAGGCCCCCTTCTCAGCTGGACTCTTGAGTTCAGGCTTCATGACACCTAAATGGGGATGGTGCAGTACGAGACTACTGATTGAGACCTAAGAAATAATTGGGCCTGGTGGTACAGGCCTATAATCCCAGCTACATGGGAGGCTGAAGCAGGAGACTGGTAAGTTAATGCCATCCTGATTTATAGAGTGACTTCAGGGCCAGCCTGGGCAACCTAGTCATACTTGGTCTCAAAATAAAAAGTAAAAACAGAGCTTGGCATGTAACTCAGTCATAGGAGGTTTGTGTAGAATGCATGAGGACCTGGAGTTGAGCTCCAGTACTAACTAACAAAAATAAATTAGCAGAGAGGAAAAACCTCAGAAATATTAATTCATTTGATAATCACAACATTTATGTCTGGGTCATAATATTTACCCCCTTGTTTTTTGGCCTAGGGATTCACAACTTCATATTCTATAAACTTATCCATCCTAGAAATGGTAACTTTTGCTACTTTTGAAATAAGACAGGTGATCTTAAACATACAAACCCACATGGATGCCTCCACCACCAAAGCTATTGCAACAAGTTCCAAGGGACTCTAGGACTTTCCACTCTGTCTGAATGTTGCCTCACTCTCCTGTTCCCCCTCCTGTCATCTGCTGCAACCAGCTGGAGTATTGTGGTTTTATCAGCATCTTTCAGAACAGAAGTTAGAAGGCTACACCTTCTAGGCAAGCCTGGCCTATCACTTGTTTTACTACAACCTGAAAGGACAGAATAGTTTTCATATTTTAGGTGTAACTGTGGGACTGGGGGCGGGGGGGTGAAGGGATTGCTCTTTTGGAAAGAACAGTTTCTGCTTCTGACTCAGAAAGCCCCAAACCTTTAGTATTGAACCTGTTAGAGAAACAGTGGTTGTCTGATCCCTGTTCTAGGATGATGGAAAGGTTGATAACACAGAGCTTGTCATTGGCTGCCACTTAGTTGTGCTGGTGAAGATGTGTTGGGGGAGGTGATTGGACCAGAGGCTCCACAAGGCAGGGTTTCTCCCTTTAAGTTTTAATTACATACTTTTCATTGTTCTCTTTAGGAAAGAATGTAATTGGGGTCGATGATCTAATCCCAGCTGTGCTCATGGTTCAGCATGATAGTTATATGAATTTCTCACATGTTTTCTGAGGACAAAAATGTCCCTGCACCAAAAACAGATCTCCTTTTGACCTCTGTCCCCTGCACTGCACAGGTGATCAGGAAGCTGGGCTGGTCTAAAGGATGGACTCAATGCTGAGTTTCAGCTCTCTTCAAAGTTATAGTGCTAGGAATGCAAGGAACAGGAAAGACCTTTGTTCTAAAAACATGCCCTATCTAATAGAGACCTGCAAACAACTGATCAGCTTCAGACCTGGTCCCTCACCTGTGTCATGTGAATGAAAGAGCCAAAGGGCCGTGCCGAGGCACTTTTATTTGAGTACCTGTAAAGTTAGGTTATGGCTTCCTGGATTTATGGAAATTTTTACTTAAAGATTTCATTAAAGCCTTTTTTCTTATTATAAAATTGACATGCTTAAAGCAGAAAAAATATTAAAATACACATAATCAAACTAAAAAAGATTAAAATCACACCTCTCTCCTATCTTACCACTGGAAGATATAAACAGCAGTGGTGATATTTGACCTTTTTCCCACCTTATTCATGGCATAGGTAGGTATGCACACATGGGATCAGACACATGAGATCAGGTGGACGTGCTCATTTTCAACTGTAGTTTTCATCTAGAGCTTTGTGTCATTGTATCTTCTGTATAATTTTGTGCCTCTATAATAGTACCTACACGTACAGTAGAATGTTACAGTCTATTTTACCAGTCTGTGACTGGTGGAGACTTCTTTCAAAGAAGGTATAAATAGCAGTCAATGCTAAGAAAGTACATTCTTATTTATAAATATTTATATATACCCATGATTATCTCTTTTTTTCGATACATATATATTTGAATTTTTGTGCATTTCATATATTACATCTTTAATTATATTTAGACCCCTTCCCCATCTTTATCCCTGACAGTCCCCCCCCCACTGGATTTCATGCATTCTGTCATAAATGCTAAGGCCTATCAAGTCAAGCTTGTGTCCCCAGATGTCCCTCAGTGTGAGTTCATCCCCTGGAGTCTAGTCAGCTTATCTAGAGTCTCTGCCTTAAAGAAGATCAACTTCATCATTATTTCTTTAAGATAAACTTCCAGAAATGAATTCTGTGTCAGTCATACCCAGTTTTTACATTTTGGTACACTGTACCAAATTTCTGCTCCCCTAAGATTCGCCAGTTTGCTATCCCACAAGCAGTTGTTTTCGTTTTCCAAATATGAGGGATGTACCTGGAAAATGAAATACTGAATCTTTGATAGGGCTGGGTCCAGGAATTGGCTAGCTGAGCAATCACTATCGATAATGTATATATGTGTACATATATATATAGATATATACAATTCATGAATATATAATTCAGTGATGCAGTATTGTCATTAACATTGTAATAAAGGGAAAGTGTATCTTCCTATGTCAAAATAGTTGTAGGTAACATCTAAATCTTAATTCTGACATCTGATATCAGATCAGGTTTTCTTGCATTTAGGGACTAATTCTGACGGCAAACCCCACAGGCAGGTAAAAATATTTTGAGAGCTAGGTTTCAAACTCTGAGATGTTATTTCAGTTGGTGTGGTTAATTTAAACCCAGGCTTCCCCAATGGGGAATGACCTTGACTTTTTCTAAAGAAAATAGCTTGTGTATTCTTTTACATGTAAGCAAAACCTGACCTTTATCAAGGTTGATTAAGGAGCCCTTCCATATTTCCTTCCTGGGTAGGCCCTCTTTGCTAGACTAATCCAAGTGCCAGTTCCTCACCACACATTGTTCTCACAAACAGGATCTGCAGGCCCAAGACAGAGCTCACCGAATTGGCCAACAGAACGAGGTCCGGGTGCTGAGGCTCTGCACTGTGAACAGTGTGGAGGAAAAGATTCTTGCAGCTGCAAAATACAAACTGAATGTGGATCAGAAAGTTATCCAGGCGGGCATGTTTGATCAGAAGTCATCAAGCCATGAGCGGAGGGCATTCCTGCAGGCCATACTGGAGCATGAAGAGGAAAATGAGGTATTACAGAAACCAAGTTGATGACATCAAACCTTGACCCCTTTGTCTCTGAAGGATTAAGAAGAAGTTCTTTGTTATTTAAAGAACTTCCTAGGCCGGTGTTAATTAAAATGAATAAATTATCTGCTATCTTATATTCCTAGCATAGAAAAACCCTGAAAATTAATCATGTGAGTATCTTAAAAGCCATTGCTAGAAGACTTTCCAAGCTTAGCCTAGGGATATTTCCCTCTCTTTTGGGGTGGTACCAACCTGCATGTTTTATTGTATTCTGAATACAATTTATTGAATCTGCCCCTATAGGGAAGATTCAGGACTGCAGGGAGGACACCTAGGGGCTCTGTTTAGACAACCTGGAAGGTCTTACCTCCTGCTTTCTTTCTCTCAGACTCCAGAGCCCTTGTTTCTGTTGCTTTTTGATAAGGGATGGGAACACTCCAACATGCTTGTAGGACAATCCTTCACAGCATCTTTAGCTCAGGTAGTTATACTTCAGCGTGGAAAGCTTGGTCTTATGCTCCACTAAAACATTCTGTTTAAGAGCTGACCGAAAGCTGAGAAAGATCACCTGGGTTATAAAGACTGTCAACAGACACACACACACACACACACACACACACACACCAAAAAGAAGTCTAAAAAATGATCAGTACATTTAAAAACACCTATAACATCTAGAAAACAAAATACCAACACTGGTTACTATAGATCTGGCCAGGGATGTGCAGATTTGATTTTGTGTGCCCGTGCTTACAAATTGAAGCATACGTTTATCTTATATGTTTACGTATATAATACAGTTTTCATTGTATATCTTAAATATAGTTTGGTTTTGTGTTTTTTTTAATTTTCTATAAATTAAAAATCAAGTTCTTGTGAAAGTCTTACATGCTTTTTTCCTCTAAAGTGAATCTGAATGTGAAGCAGAGCTTGATATTTAAAACCCTGAAGTGACCCTTCTACAAAGTGGAGAGGACTTTGGTATTACGCCTCCTCACTTGTTTATCATATATATATCTGATTAATTATCTATTGAATTTTACCACATTGATGAAAAATAAGTTATTCATATGCACTCATACATCTGCACACATTTAAAGATTTTTTTAAATCTAAAGTAATTCACCATTTCTGATTCTTAAAATAGAATATTTTTAAATGAAAAAAAAATTGATTTATTTTAAACTTATGTGTCTTGAGTGTTTTGCCTGCATGTATATAAATGCACCCGTGTCATGCAATGCCCATGGAGGCCAAAAGAGGGACTTGGATTCCCCTGGAGTTGCAGTTACCATCGTTGTCAGCCACCATGTGGATGCTGGGAACTGAACCCTGGTCATCTGCAAAGAGTAGCCAGTGCACTTAACTATTGAGCCATCTCTCCAGCCTCCAAAATTAAATGTTTGATACAGACTTAAGATTCAGATTGTTGAATGTCTTTTGCTGTTATTTTTAAGTTTGGCCATTTCAAAAAAATCACTGTGTGCAGGCAAGATGACTCAGCCAGTGAAGGCCCTTGCCACCGAGTCTGCCAACCTGAGTTCAATCTCCAGGACCCACTTGGTAGAAAGAGACAACTGACTCTCACAAGATGTCTTCTGATGCCCACATGTGTACCAGGGCAGATGTGGGTGTAGGCATGAACATATATACATTTAAAATCCACTATGGTAAAATGGCATATGATGACAGCATGTTATGGGAATGCTGGTACTCAGCCAGGAGTTTCTACTGCATTGTTGGTGATTTTCTTTCTGTTGCTGACCAGGTAAGATGGTATGCAAGGGAACCTGGAGTTTTCTAGCCTTCCTATGTCACAGGGAGAAGCAGCTCTCTCTCAGGCCTGAGGACTGCCATGTAGGGCCTGCAGGGGAAGACCCTGCCAACAGCTTCTCACTGTGAGCATCCCCACTGGGACTCCACATCCCTTCCCAGCCATAACTATGTCTAACACATGTTACCAGGCTCTGGGTGGCCTGTTCCCTGATGTGAAGTTCACTGGGAACATTTGTACACTGCAGTCAAAGGCTTCTGTCCTGACAGTCCAGGGTAACACAGGCTGGCATGACCATAGCAGGCATACTATATGATATAAGGGCACAAAGAACCGAGGAAGATTTCTGGCAAACTCCTAGCCACTAGATTCCCTGAGGACTCAGGTCTCTGTGACCAGGTTTCTTGCTTTCATGCCAGTTTCCAGGAGAGTGTGCATCTTGCCTGGGGATACCTATGGCATCGTGTATGGGTAGTGAGAGAGTAACTTGACTCTGGGGAGAGTGAAGGCAAAGGAGGGCCTGTGTTCACAAGACGATGCTACAACATGATACTTGATCCTACAAGGTCTGAGCCCACTTCTAGCCAGTCTGCATCTTTGTCAGGTGAAATGTAGTATTTAGACAGATTGACTTTAATCAATCTGGAGGTGAATTTAAATGGAAGATTTTTCAGGAGTAATTACTCATTTGAATCATGTAGTTTATTGAGTTGCATTCATTTCTAACACTGATTAAGTCCTTGCAGTGTGCAAGATGTCTTGGAAGCTGGTGTCATCATCTTGCTTAGGCTGCTGGTTCACTCAAAGCCAGTGTTTGACATTTCTGAAAAACTTGAGAACTGTTGGTTTCTGGGAAATTAACAGATAATGTGCCTTTATTTAACAGAATAAAAAAATTTAGAGACTTTGAGTTGTTATGTAATTGCCTTTTCTATTCCACTTAAATTGTTTTAATTGAGTATAGTTTTGAGGGCTTTTTGTATTGATAGCTTTTTAATTGTGTTCTAACCATAGCCTTAACATCAACAACAATAGAGCCTACTGAAATACATAATTAAAGAGATCTTAAAGTTTATGTATTTGGTATGATTGGGGGGGGTCTTGTCCTGTGCTTAGTGACAAAAACTCATTTTGGTGGTAAATCTTTGAGAATAAACATTAATGTTTGCAGTAAAGACAGTGGAATTAGTAGAATTAATATTAAGTAATCATTTATGTGAATTTCCTTAGTTAAGACTGCATCCCCCTGTGAAGTATGCATGCTTCAGTTACTGGTGAGGTCATCCAGGCGAGGAGACATTAAGTAACTTGCTTTAAAAGTAACAGAAAAGACACACACCCAGGAGAACCACTATTTCTTAGAGAGCACACTTCCTCTCTAGACAGATTTCCTTTTGGAAAGATGGCTTGAATAGCTTGCGAGATGTGAATGGCAAGTTCTAAACCAAGAGACCTTTTCTTTTTTCTCTCTGGCTTGAGAGCTGGGACCCTCTCCTGGAGGACAGAATCCCCTTCCTGGTTTGTAGCTTACTTGCTGTACTTGGTTGTAGGCCTACTGTCCATCCTCTGTCCTAAAGCCTGTTCATTTGTTCTGTTTTTAACCCCAGGAAGAAGATGAAGTACCTGACGATGAGACCCTGAACCAGATGATTGCTCGACGGGAAGAAGAGTTTGACCTTTTTATGGTAATGTTACAGAAATCTGGGGAGCCACTGCCTTCGTCCTCTTCCCCCTTTTTCTGTTCTCTAAGATGCCTGCAGCCTGAATGCCCAGTAGAACTTCATTTGTGAAGCCTGTGCCTTTCTTTGGTTCAGAGTCTGCAAACTGGCTGGATTTAGCCTGCAGACATGTTTTGTTTGGCCCACACAGCATTTTTTAAAATTTCTCATTTGTTGCCAGCTTGAAAAGAATCTTGATTTCTGGCTTCCCTTGGAAATGAAATCGGGCAGTATCAGGTCTGCAGCTCTCTGTAGAAGTAGCTAGCCAGACCTGAGTCACCTCTTTACCCCCTGAGTATGTGGCCAACAGTTTACCAGAGACCCCACTCCTAACCCCAGGCCAGCATCACTCCGGACAACCACTGGTCTCTCAAAGCATTAACTTTACAACAACTGTGCCCTAGTTGGTTTCTTCGTGAATAGGGGCAGGTAAACATCAACATTGCAGGTGTGCCCCTTGTAATTGTTGCAAGGAGTCTGCATAAACGAATAGGAAGCTTCCAGGTGTGTGTAAAGGAAGACAGACCCCTGGTTCAAAGAACAAAACCTGCTGTATGTAAAGGAAACTTGGCATTTCAGAATTTATTGTCCATGCCTTTAACCTTGAAGTTCCCTAATACACAGCATCTGTAATTTCCCAGAAACCTGAATTTGGTTTACATATGAGGCCTGCCACAAGCCGGGGTGGATGAGGTGCGAGCCCCATTGGTGAGGGAGGTTGTCAGTAGCACAGAGTGGCTCTAACTACGTTCCTGAGACTTTTATACTATCTTCAATGACCAAAACAGTTCTGGGCACTTCAGAGTCACTTAATAGATTATTGAATGAGTGGTGATTGGAAGTTTCAGGCTTTGTCCAGATGGCAGGCCAGATCCAGATTTGTAAAGTGAAATGCTTCTTCCAGTACCTTTAGTCATTTTGACATTCATCCCAGGTACTGAGCCTGATTGTAGAAGGAGTGAATGCACACACACACCCTAGCTTTGCTGGAGGAATGCTGCAGAACCCTGAAATCAGAGGCCTGTTTGGAAACCCCGGGCTCTCAGATAATGCACTCTTCATGAGCAAAGCAGGTAGGGAGGGCTGTGTATTAGAGATACTGTCACTGATGATGGGGCTATAAGGTAGAAAACCTTTAAGCCAAAAGTTAGAAATATTTAAAAGAAGCCGGAAATCTACATTTTTAGATGCAATCTCTGCATTTCAGATTTGCCACTACGTGTAGGAATTTTATTAATATTATTTTATGACACTGCAGGCCAAAGAAAACACAACTAAGAGTCAACTATGACCCAGGGGCTTTGCTCTCTGCCTTTTAGCTTAGCAAGGTTTGAAAATGAAGCG